AGGATCTCCTCTTCTAAATTTTTAATTCTGCAAAAACTGGGGGTCACTGATTTCAAAGCAATTTCCTCTCCAATTGCTTATTATAAGGCTATTCCAGAAAGTCTGGTCCCAACTTTGAGCTGAAATCCCACAGCAAAACACTTAAGGGGAAAAAAAAAAGTCCTTTCTTTCAACAGGGAAACCTGCCTGTCAGGCAGATGAGTTGATCTTGTCCTCAGATGAGAAGGTGAGAAGGCAGATGGGCACATTCTTCAGTCTTGGCAGAAATACTTTTTTAATAGGCAATGGAATGTCAAACAATTGCAATAAATTGCATACCAGTATATCTTTACATAGATACATATGTACTTTTACAGGTGCTTAATGCACCCAGGACAGTCTTTATACAATAACCTACCACCGTAAGTATTTAACATTTTCACATTCATTTCTATTATACAAATATCTAAAAGTTCAGTTTACTACAATGTACTGTTCATGGTTTCCCAACCATGGGGTTGTCAAAAACAGATCTCCCAGCACAGGAATATTCCCCCTCCCCAGTCCATGCTCCCACCTGTGCATTTCCCAGCCTTCTTCTACATTGGGGAGCTGGGCCTGTTCAGCCTAGGGAAGAGAAGGCTGAGAGGGGATCTAATCAGTGTCTATAAGTACCTCAAGGGAGGGAGTGCAGAGGACGGTGCTGGTCTCTTTTCAGTGGTGGCCACTGGTAGGACTAGAGGAAATGGCCGGAAACTGAAGCATCAAAAATTCCATAGGAACTTAAGGAAAAATTTCTTAACAGTGAGGGTGACAGAGCACTGGAACAGGCTGCCCCGAGAGGTTGTGGAGTCTCCTTCTCTGGAGATCTTCAAACTCTGCTTGGACGCAGTCCTGTGCCACGTGCTCTAGGTGACCCTGCGTGTGCAGGGGGGTTGGACTAGATGATCTCTAGAGGTCCCTTCCAACCTTAAGCATTCTGTGATTCTACCCAGCGCAGGTGCTTGTTCCATCCCATTGCAAGTTACTTCAAGTAGCAGAACGGAGAGAAAAAAACATATGTATAAGGTTAATTTTCTAGCAGGTTAGTTCCTCAAGCTGCCTTGTCTTGTGGGAAGACAAGCAGTACTGTCATGTACAAGGAAGGTTACAAGGAAGGGTGTGGGGATGTTGGAGCTGGAGACGAAAAGGTGAGGAACATCACCCTTGGTGGGAGTTCTTTTGGTTGACTTGGCTCTTTTAGACCCCATTATAAATCAAGAAGATATGCATAGCTGATTGATCAAATTACATTTTTTTCTCCTTTAATTCAATAACACACCTGTAACTGCCTCTGTTTTTCAGATCAGTTGCCCCAAGGTAGGAAACGGTTTGCTACAAGAACACGAGGTCCATCATAAAAATAGGTATTTATCTAAAATAAAGTTTCCAAATTTTTTTCAGGATATTTTCTCTCTAGATCTTTGTTGTAAATGGTCACTGGATATTTTCATGATCTTATTTGCAATATTCCTAGCAGCACTCATAATGAAAAATCTACACAAATGACCTTTTATAAGCTCTCTGATTCCTTCAAAACACAAGGAAATTGAAAATTTATGTTTGCAAGTATCAGGAATAAAATAAAAACCTCACTTTGACTGTCTAAAAATAAAGCCATATAAAGCAAAAACCCTGTTGAATAGCACACTCTTAAAATAAATACCATTTCCTTTGCCACAATAAATGTTGTTTGAGATTCTATACTTAAAAGCCTAATTCATTCCACTGAGATGTAACATTTTGTTAAATTGCAGAAACTATAGAGGAACCAGCTATTCACGGTCTTCTGTATTTGAACTGTTTACAGTTCTCTGTCAGAATTTTCTGGAGGAGAAAAGCTTCCATGTTGTGGGATTTTTTCAGGTTCGCTACCGAGATTTGCCTTTCTGCATCTAATAGATCAACCACAAATTAGCCATTCCTGTGGCCCCAATAGAAATGTGAACCTTTAACCAGCTTTTAGAAGTTAAGCCTGTGGGCCGGATTCTTGGCTGCCATTCTGGCTGCCGTGGTCTACTCCGAAAGGGTTTGGAGAATTTAGGGGGTACTTAAATGGCAGCTATGAATTAGGATCTGTTTCAGCTCAGGAGCCAACGACGTTTAGAGAGGATTGTTATAGAAAGAAAAAATCTCCCAACTGAAATGTATTCAAGCTATTCATCACTTCCCTTTTATCTCCTTTAATGGAAATTCTCCAAATCCTACGAGACCAATCTTGTAAACAATTATTTTCTTTCCTTAATTTCCACTATAAAATTTGTACTTGATATTTCTCTCAGAAATCTTTGGTTTTGCCTTGGATTTTTTGTTATTGGGAAAATGAGAAGAAAACTGGTTTAAAACTTTAATAATTTCTTTTGAGCACTTTTTGCATTAAACAAGTGATGATATATGGGACAGTAACAATAGATACTTCTCCCAAATGCTTTTTTTCTCAGAATATACTATTACAAAAAAAAAAAAAAGGAAACATAACATGGGAATTCTTAATTTTCAAGCGTCTATATATAGGTAAGGAACCTGGCAGACATGCTCCTATAAATACTCACAATCATCAGACCATGCTGCAGTTTCAGAACTGCTGATTGTGTTATTTATGCAGATATATACAAAATTATGCATGACTTGCATGTTATATTCTTGTTAGAAGAGGCTGAGAAATATGCTACCATACTGTGTGATGCCTTAAAAAAAAAAAAAAAAAAAAAAAAAAAAAAAAGAAGTTTGAGACAAGTTTCATTCTTGCCCCAGTGTAAAATTGCTGGTGCAAACTGAAAAGTCCTCTGGTGTTGTAGTTGCATGGCTGAATGTAATGTTCCCCTGGAGAGGAACTTGCGGAGCAAATGTTTTGTACTTGGTCAGAGGTTGCAGAGACTTTCCTCGCGGCTGTGTTCATGCCATGGAGCTCTGGGTCTTGATCTTCTTGACTTTGCAGCTTTAAACTAAAGGAAACCTTTGTGGATTTTTTCTGCATGCGTATTTTCCTTCACACAGCAAAGCAAGGACTTAGATGCTTAACTTCTAGACTGCCTGCTGAGACTCAAGCTGCATCCTTCATTTTGTGGGGAGGCTCTAGCTGTAATGCAAGCTGACATATTCAGTGCTTAAAACGTGGAAAGGGCTGTGAAGATGTTAACTCGTTATTATCCTGCCACCCCTGCCACCTTATCAGAAAGGGCTGAAAGCAAAATGAGATGACTTGCCCAAAGCCACACAAATACTAATTGGCAAAGCCTACCCTACAGATATAAGTGAAGTTAAAAAGGCAGTGGTGTCATATACAAAAGCAATCACCTTTGAAGTCTTGTGAAAGCCATAAACACTCAGAGTGGGGATATACAAACTTTGGGTTTTGAAAATTACTATAGTTCTTACATTTATTTACCTATCTATGTGTTTAAGTTTTAAATAGTATACATTTTAGAAAACGTTAATATTTAACACATTATGGGTGATTCATTAATAATTACTACTTCAGAAAATGTTATGGATGAAGCAAATACAAGCATGCATACACGTTTTTCACTCCTCTAAAAAGAGTTTCAACATGCAAATGTTTTTACTTCAGCACCGTTTTCAGTACTGCTTCCAGACACGCAAAACCGAGGCCGTTCCCGGCGCTTCAAACCCTCACACATCCGCAGCGCCTTGCGGAGCTGCTTGTCGCGTTTGGCAGCGCCGCCTTAGCCG